GTTGAATTTTCAAGTACCATCACCTCCATAAAAAGCTTATTACTGCACAAAAGCCTTTAAGAAAATCAGGTTGCAGCTCTCGTTTTCTGCTTTTGCCTCTTATTCAGGTAGTGCTAGAGCCTTCCCAGCACTGAGATTTCCTTTTACATTGTGCAAGGCCTTAGGGGACTTCCATGGATCAGACCAACTCCACTTCCACACATCCTCCCTCTCCCCACAGATCAATGCCAAAATAGATGTGCAGTGACTTTTGCAGTATTCTAGCTGTCATTTCTTTCTGTTTCTTAAATGCTGCTATCCCTTCCTGCCACCTTTTGCTGTGCTACACTCTGCTTTTAGTTATTAGGCTTGCAGCACTGCTCTCTGCAGAGAACTCTATCAAACTATTTCCTGAAGCTCAGCTAAATTATATGCATAACTTCCTTCCCTCGACCACTTGGAGGAAGTAGCAAAACAATCATATGCGTTTGACATTATTACTCATTTCTGAACMCATGCCAAGCCTCCCTTTCCGTGGTATCACTGACATACTGCCACAAGAAGAATGGAGAGGGCTGTCTCTTCAATTCTAGCACTGGGTAGTTTTCAGTGCTTTATACCCTTTGAGGGAAAAAAAACTGGCTATAGCCAAACTGTCTCCTCCAAGGTCTCAGCTGGGAAGCACTTGGTTTGTTTTTCAGGCTCTCATTTTTTTAAACATCAAAGCAAAAAAAGCAGCCATTTGACTTATTCAAATGAACAAAGATGTTTCAACAAGTTAAACAATGTTTCCAGATGCTTTCTAGTGAAATCAGATAACAAGCCCTTTGGATTTAACAGCATCAGTGTTGGGGCCTTCAATAGAAAACACACCCTTTGCTAAATCTGTTGGTTAAGAAATCAAGCTAATGAGTGAAAACAGCCTGTTCCACATCTGCAATTCATTATCCYTGTGTCTGAGTGAAGCCATCCAGGTATGTATGACATGTTACACTTAGCAAATATCACAAATGAGACAGTGGGAGAGAATGACACATTTTTCTGTGGCACTGAGGGCACGTTTCGGGGCAGTTCACGTGCTCTGCAGGGGAATGTGAATACGACCTCTCTGCCAGGGTGGTGTAAATAAACGAGAGCACACAAGTCAATTTTTAAACACTACCTTTTTCCTATACCCTGAAATGTGCACATGCCACGTTCTTGTTTCCTCAGAATAAAGAACAGAGTAAGGAGCTGTCATCCTCAATGGCCCAACCCCTGCACTCTGAAATTTTTCCCACTTCTAGTGACAAAGGAGGCAGCACTCGGCACATCCCAGCACGAGCTGCCTGTGCTCCAAGAGCAGCAGCAGCAGCCAGAGAACAGGACCATCCCTGCATCCAGGGAGACAGAGCACAGGGGCATCTGCCAAGGCTGCTCCCAGAAACTCGGCATGCAAAGGTGCCAGAGATGCAAAGGGCATCAGCACAGCACCGCTGATCAAAAAAACCATCTTTTTAGCTGTTTTTGCCACTTTGGGATGCAAAATCTGCCAAGGGCACTCGAGGGAAGAGAAAAAATGAAAAGCACTGCATTTAAAGGGGTTTTATTCCCTTATACAATTAAAGCTAACCTTTATTTCAAATGTTGCTTTTGATACTCGTACTGCTTTTTAATTCTCAGAATGCCTTTTAGCTTTGCCCTGGAACTTGTGGCWTCGAAAAGTCAGGCTATGGGATACTGGATGCTCAATTCAGGGGCTAGCTCAATTCTAAGGCTGCAAAAGGCTGGTGAGGAGCCCTGGAAATTTTTTACCRTCGCAACAGAGCAACACATTATGACAAAGTTTAAGAACCACTACATCCCTGCAGAGACACTCAGTGACAATACAAGTGTCACTGGATRTGAGAGCAGGCACTGAAAAGAGAAATCTGTTTACAGTAAACACTTCTGCTTGGAAGTAGGAAACTACAGTGACCTTCTGTTCTCAGAAGAATCGGCATTAAGATGACTAATGGGCCAAGGAGGATTGATTTATTGGGAAAGAATAAAAATTTAACTATATATAGAGCTTGGCTACTCAACTGGCAAGGGAATAGGTGTGGTAGGAAAGTAATCCTGGAGCTAATAATAGAACAAAGATGTGGAACAACTCACAGCTGAGATAAGCCAAGACAACAGGCACAAAAGCAGGGGAAGCATATAGCACCAAAGGGAGAAAACTCTGCAGTCATGGGACAAATAGTCCCAGCTTAACCCCACAGCCTGGCACCTGATCTTCCTAAAACTTTCTGAATGAGAATYAATGAAGATGCACAACTGAGAATTGCACAAAGGTGAGATCAACCTACATCAGTGTTATATCAAGGGAAATCCTTGAACTTTATGTTGCTAATCCTTATTGAAAGGGTTAGGCTTGGCTTAGTTGTTTGGTCATTGGTTTGTTGTTTTTTTTTTTTGACAAAAACCCTGAGCCTAGAGCTACTGAACATTGTCCTTTTCAGCTGCAAAACTTCATAGGGCTGTTTTCTTTAGCTGCAATTCTTTCCCCCTCTGTAGAATTGCATCAAGGGAAGTGAGAAAAGACTAGTAAATTTTCCCAGCTATTTAATGAGGCTCGAGCCTTCACACTACAAAACCTCTCTCCTTTTCAGCTCTCTACAGGCAGTGACACACAAACTCACATTGCTTTTGCTGCCCCRCTCTTTCTCCTGGCCTGTCTTGGCTCAGCCAAAGAACAGGGAAACTTTTTGCAACATCACAAACACTGAAATATCTCAACCCCTAACCACCCACAGATATCTGTGCTTTTCTAGACAGCTCCAAATGATTCCAAGTTTTCACTTCTACCACCAAATGCTCCTCGAAGAGCATATTGCTCTTCATTTGATGGTACAGGACACGTTTCTCAATGAATGCCAGAATTATCAAAGCTTAGCTAGAGGAAAAAAAAAAGCAAAACAAAACACAACACAAAATCTCTAAAAGTGCCTTTTTCAGCTTCTATTTAGAAAGTCAAAACAGGTAAGTGACAATTCTGAGAGCTGCATTAGCAACAGAAGGGGATGGATTTTGCCAATTAACTTGGACTGCCTTCTTTTCCTCTATGCAAAAACCAGGAGCCTTTACACTCAGAGGAACAATTAAACCTGTATTTAGATAAACCAGTCAGGCCATTACCTGTCATAGCAGTTGAAGTCATCTAACCAGCAGCCTTTCTTCACCAGCTCGATGGAGCCCGAGTTGTTTCTCCAGGAGGCGTAGCAGTGGAGCCGCTTGTCCTTCTCGCCCTCGCAGCGCTCCACTCCACTCTGGTTGGTCTTCTCCAGCTCCCAGTTGGCATTGTAGTAGATGCACTCCCTTGTCTCAGCCTCCCCATGGCCTGGTCCTGAAAAAGAAGTCAAGCCCCAAGAACATTTAAGTAAAATCAGAAACAGATCCTGGGAAATGTTTGTCTCTGTTTTAGGTGACGCGTACATTTGATTCCCCAGGAGTTGAGCAGCTCAGCAGCRTGAGCTTCAGCAGAGTGGGGAGGTTATTCTTCCCATCTGGGGTGAGGTGGGGAATGGAGAGGTCAGGGTTTCCTGAGCTCACCCAGGAGCTCACAGTGAAGTCAAAAGCCCAGCTGAGACCTTTCCAGATCTCCTCTGGGCAAYGCTTCAACCTTAGGACCCCAAAAAAGGGGATGGACAAGGCAACATATACCCAGCAATGCCTGCCCACAGAAACCCTGCTGAGCAAAGACAACCTCCCAGGGTGCTGCTGGATGCTTGCTGGGATGTCATGCAGTGGAGTCACTCTCCCTCTCCACCACTACTCTGGAAACACCACCTAAAAATACAGTCTCTTCCGTGGGTAGGATGTAACTGAGAACAGGTAACACTCATCTTGCAGAGGAGGGCCACACCAGTGCCCTTTCCTCACTTGCATCCCAGTTCAGGCTTATTTGGGTAAATCTCCATATGAGAAATGCCACATTTTCAGCTGCATTTGGCACAGTCCATGGTTYCTCTCTGCCCAAGCAAGACCTTCAGCAACACTGGCCACCCCTCACGGATGCTTGGCCAACACAAACAAAGGAGTTTCCTTAGCCTGTGGGTCTTCCCTCCTTTATAACCTTGTCCTAAAGGATCATGGAGCTCCTACTGCCCCCAGGGAAACAATTCCCCCATAGGCACCATGTGGCAGAACTGAAAATACAATTGCAGACACATCCATTAAAACCAGGGTCAAGTAAGGAAACATCATATCTGCAGGTGACCTCTTTTGTCCTAAACCTTAGAAATCCTTTCTTCATGTGGAAATACTCTGCTTTGTGCCATTTTGACAATTAGTTTAAAAAAAAAAAAAAGGAAGAATGAAACAAATACACATCTTGTAAGAAGAGAAAGACAAAAGGTAGTGCCGTGAAGCTGATGATTCTGTAAATCCTGAAATGCCCTGCAGCCATCTCTCTTTGGGATTACCCAACCTAAGGCAAGGTCAGGCCTGGCCATTATTTTGATGGATTGCAATCATGGAAAASGTAGGTATCTCAATAAAATGTGTTGACAACAGGGAAGAAAACACAAATAGGTCCCGCAGGATGGCGAAACAAAAGTGCTGTGCTCCCAGAATAGCCAGACCTCTTGAAGCCTAGAACTAAGTTTCTAGCTAGAAAACCACAGTTTTGTAGGGGTGATGTGTCCAATCTGCTCCCAATCCCAACACCCGGACTCAGCAATGGGTGATTTTCAGGGTACAGAGCAAACACATCACTGTAAGATCTCTCTGCAGGCTGAAGAGGTGTTCAATCCTTCAATAACTCTTTTTAGGAAGGCTGCTTGATCTGCATCATGGGAGAGGCTGCAAGGGAGTAGGGCTATGAGAATGTCATAAAACTGACTTCTGAAACTGGAAATTGTATTCAAAGCACACACCAACGAGAGCTCAATTTCAATAACACCTGCAGGTTTTATCAGTGCCTGCAAAGCCCCATCAGAGTTTTCCTCTGACAAGTTGCTTACAATAATGAAAACAACCTACCAATATCCCTCAACACAGAACAATGTCAATATTGACACTCCTTGTTAAAGCCTGGATATTTGTTCTCTTGATACTTACACYGTGCTTTTTAAGGGCAGATTAAGCATTTTTGCTAAATACTAGTTAAATCAGCAGGAAAGCAAAAGAGTTTTCTCTTGTGTGTGGGGGGTGGAGGATGATATCTCTTTGTTTATAAAGGAAAGAATAAATATCTTAACTTCACAGAATCATTAAATGGTTTGGGTTAGAAGGAACCTTTAAAGGTCATCTAGTTCAATGTGCAATGAGCAGGGACTTCTTCAACTAGTCCAGGTTGCTCAAAGCCCCATCCAACCTGACCTTGAGCACTTCTAGAGATGGGGCAGCCACCGCCTCYCTGGACAACTTGTGCAGGTGTTTCACCACCCTCATTGCTAAATGTCACACAGCTTCCTGCTGGTATCTGACACCAAATCCTCACTTACCTCCTTCTGCCCCTGGAAATACACTTTGTAATACCATTTTCATCATCCCAAACTGAATATCGCTTTTGATCAAGATGGAAATTTCCTCTCCTTCCCCAACTCCATCTCCCAGAAAGCTGCAAAGTTTAAYGAGCCATTTCACTGGAAAGCAGCCCCAAAATCTAGCCCCTAGCTCAGCCACCATTCATCTGCAATCTCAAGCAATACTGCGTAGCCTCTGCTTTCTCCACCTGCAATGACAGCCAATACAGTGCACAGAGCTGCAGTGAGATTTGATATTTCCACTGTGCTCTGGAAAGGGAATGTTGAAAACTGTATCAACTCTGGGACCAGCAAACCGAGGCTGCTAAATCCTGTTTTGAGATCAGACTCCCTTCCCCCAAGACAGTTGTCTTTCCTGGAACAAGTTGCAGCTGAAGACTAAGAGCTGCTTGCAAACACGCAAACCCAACTCTGCAAACAGCAACCGCGCCAGGAAAAAGGCCTTTCCCAGTTTCCCCCCCTGCTGTCAAAGTTTAGATGATTTGAATAAAAGCATGCACAAAGTTTTGGATGACTAAATACATGTATGCTTTCTTTATAACAGCTCCTAAGGATGCTTGCATTAAGAAGACACTTTAAAAACCTGCGTGTTTGTTACCTGCTCTCAGATCTCTTTAAAAGCCATTTGCTAGGATCCTCACCCTGCTGGGAGCTCACGACTGCAAGAAACCCTTCTGTTTGTACCCAAGATGGTCTCAGCAGGAAGGGGCACGGCTCCAGGTCTGGGTATTAATTTACCTGCTGCTTTAGCTCATCAAGAAACACTCACACCTTGCTCTGTAATGGATCACGCAGAGACCAAAGTTTGCAGCTAACTGCCTGCTCCACGCTCRCTGCGGTAAAACCCTCACCCAGCAGAGGGAGGGGAGCCCAAACAGAGGCTTGTCCCTTTRAGGGAGAAAGGTGGTGACCAAGAGAAGGAAATTTGAGTTTTGCATTCCCATTAAGTAGTTTTTCTTGCCTCCTCTTCCCCTYTTGGGTSATGKATACCCCCAAAGTCTGTAAGAGACACTGAGCCAGATGTCAGATAATGGTTTTAAACTAAAAGAGAGTCAGTTTAGCTTTAATATAAGGAAGGAATCTTTTTCACAACGAGGTGATAAAACTCTGAAACAGGTTGTCCAGAGAGGTGGTAGATGCCTCATCTCTGGAAATATTCATGGTCAGGTTGGACAGAGCTCTGAGCAACTTGATGTAGCTGAAGATGTCCCTGCTCGCTGCAGGGGAGTTGGAGTAGATGCCTTTAAAGGTCCCTGCCAGCCCAAACTGTTCTGTGATTCTGCCAAGTGACAAAGGCATGGATAACTATGTCCTGCTTCTCATTTCAAGTTGCAAGAAGAAGAAGAATCAGAGAATTGCCCCAAAATACGCACAGGAAGAGCTCATCTCCTTTCACCAGACACAGCTGATGCATTAGCACAAGGACATAACTGCGCTTCCCTGTGCCCCCAGCAGCACAATCTGACTCAGGAGACRTGTTGTACCAAACTTAAGCATCTGGCAGAAGGGACACAGTGAATTTTGGCCATTCCTGAAACAAAATCTTTTCAGTGCAGTCATAAAGCACAGCCTGAGAGACTAAAGAGGCTGTGTCCCCACAGTTCTGCTCTCCCCTCCTCACAATGACCTTCTCATCTCCCTCATAGCAGCCTCAGCACACAGGAAAGCTCCTGAGCTCCTTCATTTGGTGGCACTGCCTGGTAACACCTGCTCATGCGAGATGGAAAATAAACATCCCAGAGAACAGCTTAGCTTTTGGCAGGAAATCAATGGGACTTGGGTGCAAYGAGATAGAAAACCTTTGCTCAGCAAGCGTTTTTAAGATTGGTTTCATTCATTGGGCCCCCATTCCTCTCCTGCCTAAGCCTATTCCACCAGCCACGATGCAAAATTTGGGGGAAAAGTTGCAAAGCAGCAGCATGAACAGTGGGGCAGGAGCGTGGCATCCCCAGCAGTGCAGCCCACTGACAGCCCCAGCTGTGTCCAGGGAAAAAAGCCTCATGTCGGCAGCCAGGCCAAAGCAATCAGCATTTTAATACCACAAATAGTCATTGAAGGAATGAAGCCTGAAGTCCTGCTTGAAATCAAAGCCTAAGGAAGAATCAGGCTTTGCAGGAGCAGATGGGTTTCTGGCATCCCACTGCATCCACCCAGCGCTTCTGGGATGACGCAGCGTGGCTTTTCCTYGAACAAAAGCTGCACAGAAATACCTTTACACAAAATACCAAGCCCAAATAACTCCCATACATCACGATGGCARAGGGAGGCTACCCACCATCAGCCATTTTTGCGGTGGAAACCAACTTTTTGACYTCAGTCATGAGGAATTGTCATTACACTGATTCCCCTGGGTCAATTTTCTGCTCCAAATGACTGAASCATGATTAGGTTTTTGCCAAGCAAGGGCCCCAGCACCCATCTGAGGCTCCTAACGATGGGAAGAGCAGTTGAAGCACCATGTGACATGGGAAGACCTCTTGCCTCTACTCGGGAGTTGCAAGGCACAGAGGGAGCTCATTAAAAAAAGATCCTCGTGAACTGAAGGACTTCAGCCTGCTGAGACATGGGACCTCGCTGCTGATCTGAGACTAAAGCCTGCTCTCCTAATTTGGAGTCTCTGACAGATCACTGAGCCTGTATCATTATCCAACAGCTTCTAAATTATAGCCAAGATCCAGTGCAGCAACTCCAGGTCTAGGTGTTAGCAGTTGCAGGGCTCCTCACTCATAATTAGATACATAGGGAATATCTTCCCCAAGGCTGGAGGCTGCTGTAAATCTCAGCTCTTTATCTCTGCCTGTCCCCTTTTGAAAACCTAAAATGAAAGTATATATGAAAAGATGGGATGTGTCAAAAT